ATATCTAATTCAAGTGGGGAAGGTACTTGACCTAAACTTTGGAGACTATTATCTTGGAAAACAACTTCTTCCCAATATTTTTCTATACACTTATTTTTTTCTACCAGATCTTCTGCTGGTTAGATTGACCCAAATTACATGTTCTTGTGTTTTATAGAAGGTAATAAGGGCCATGTTTTCTTTGGCATTATTGTGTATGCAAAGTAGCCAGGGCAAGGCAGTTTAGAACATATGCACTGATATGGCTTCTTCCCTTTACAGACAGTGGAAAAGAGGCCCTATGGAGGAGAGGTTACTTGCTTATATTCACACAGTGAGTTAGTTAAGGTGAGACCAGATGGCAGGTCTCTTGACTAGAAGTGTTGTGTATTTTCCATCACAGTGAACTAGTTTATATTATTGGCTTATTGGAGAAATGAGCACAGAGTGGTTAAACCATTTCCCGGTTGCTGGGAAATCACAGCAGAGCCAGTGAGTTCATTGGCCACAGAATTCCCTTATCCTGGGTGCTTTAAGTCCTTCCAAATAATCTGAGGCTGGGGTAGAGTACCTGCCTAGCAAGTACAAGGCCCTGAGTTCAAACCCAAGTACTGCCAAAAAAAATTTTTAAATAGTCTGTATGGAATAGTGTAAATACTCACTGTCCCATTGTCTTTGCACTTGTACAGTGCATTGTATCTGCACTCTGTACAGATAAAGCTCCTGAATAGCTAATGTAATAACTACTGATTAACTTCTTATGAATGGGACAGTTTGTATTTATCTTTAATATCATTGAGAAAGAGGTACAACTTCTCTGTGTAAACTGAAATATCTTAGTTGTGGTTATAGTAAGTTTGTCGTGTTTGTCATTTATCACATGGGTAGAAAATATTTTATGCAAAGAAGAAAAAGATGTAAAGAAAATGTAAAATATGGAAAATTCTTGAATTTCTTAAGATGATGCCAAATAATTACTAGTTTAAAAAAATAAAAACTGATCTGGGTTTGGTGGCACGTTCCTGTAATCCCAGCTACTTGGGAGGTGGAGGTAGGAGGATTGCGAATTTGAGGCCAAACCAGACAAAGTAGGACCTTATGTCAAAACCAAAAAATACAAACAAAAGGACTGGGAGTCTGCATGGTAGTGCATTTGAGGCCCTGGATTCAAGTTTAGTCCCCAGCACTGCCAAAAATATCTCTTTTTGAGAGAGAGAGCATGACCATATTTATATGATTTTTACTACAGTAAATTGTTACAGTTGTTTTATTATAGTTATTGTTAATATCTTAACTGTGTCTAATTTATAAATTAAACCCTCCCATTGAAATGTATCTACAGGTGTAGTATCCCTGATCTTAAATGCTTGGCACTCAAAGTTTTTCAGGTTTTGGAATATTTGTATTATATACATAATGAGATAGCTTTGGAGAGGACCCAAGTCTAAATACGATATTCATTTATGTTTTACATACACCTTATACACATAGTATGAATGTAACTTGGTACAGAATTTACAGTACACCTGTGTTTTGATTGTGACTATCACATTAGAGTGGAGCTGGAATTTTCCACTTACGGCATCATGTCAGTGCTCAGAACATTTTGGATTTTGGACCATTTTGGAAAACAGTGTGGATAGTACCAAACTATCCACAGCTTTAAGCAACCATAGGGATCGTAGTATGTATGTACTGAAGATAAGGGAGGACTACTCTTCTTATTATGCTTTCCAGAATAATTTATTTTACTAACAATTTCCCCTTTAGAATCAGCTGAATAGGTAAATTCATTTACCTATTTTGTGACATCAATACAACCATGATTAAGTTAGAGCCCATTTCAACAACTATATGATAAAGAATAAATCCTTAATAGGAATGATGTCTCCATGCCGTGAGTCCTGGGGACAAAAAAATCTAGCGAAGAAGAAAAGTTTTTGTAATTTTTTTCTATGAGAATAGTTGTACAGTGGGTGCATGTGGGTAGAATATTAAAAAACACTGAACAAGGCAAAAACAGTTTCTTGAAGGCCATAATATACAAAGCGTCATCCAAATGTTTTGAACAACATTCATATGCAAGCAGTCTGCTTTGGATAAACAAAAACGGATTATTTTCCTAATTGGATAAATTTATCTGTTTTTAACTTCCTTAAAATACAAGCAGTGGAACATAATGAACTCTTTTAGTAGTTGACTGAATTCTCCATTGTTTCTCAGAAAACACTGAGTACAGGACCTTCCAGCTTACTATAATCAGCTTGAAACCTGGTTATAAACTCATAGTCCATCTGTGGCCCTATAAAGTTCTGAAATTTAAGGTTCTTATTTTCATCTCTATTAAATAATTTAAAAAGTAAACCTAGTAATTGCAAGTTACTAATAAGAGAAGCTAAAGAATGTCTCTTCATAAAGTCACAAACTTCCAGAGTAGAAGGGACTTTAATCATTTTAGTCACCAAATCATTTTATAGATCAGAAAGTTGAGGCACAGAGAGACTGTTGATTTTGTCCAAGTTCATACAGGTGGGCATAGCCATGAGAGAAATCCAGGTTTCCTGACCTTAGCCCAGGTCTCTTCTCACTATTCTTTCCCACAGTGTTATCCTTTGAAATTGGGGCATTAAACATTTTTACTATTTTTTTGGTAAAATATACATAGCATATATAATTAAATTTTGAGAAAATCTCTATGTGAGGTCAATAATAAATGGACATGGAACACAAGAGGTACACAGAGGTTGACAGTATGTAGTGGCAAGTCCAGCACCCACTCCTAGCTCCTGACAATCCTAGCTCCCTTTCTCTCAGGCAGCCACTGTATAGAATGAGACATTTAGGGGCTGGGGATATGGCTCAGTGGTTAAGTGTTTGCCTGGCATGCATGAGGCCCTGGGTTCAATTCCCAGTACTGGGAAAAAAAAAAAAAAAACTAGAATGAGACATTTGAAATAGACTGTTTTGGCCTAATAAGATGCACAAACTGGCGAATTATTCTTAAGGAGTTACAGTCTGGCCTGCCAAGTTTAGGGAATGCCCAAAAGGAAAAACATAAGCTGTGGAATTAGAATATGGAGAGATTTGTGAATTGGATTTGAAAATTACCAAAGTTTAGGGTAGTTCCAGGAGCAGAAAGTAGAGCTGTCCTGTAGCAGTAGTTTATCAGGCAGGTATTGTTTTCTGTACGAGTAGCCTAAAGCTCTCACATATCTTCCTGACAGGTAAAATCCCTGTCTGTGTCTTGTGTAGCACATTGGCTAAAAGGAGAAACTGTGTTGACATCTGAGTGAATGCCCTCTGACTACAGCTGTCAATGCAGGACACAGCATGGGTCTGCTGCTCTTAGGCCTCAGTTTCTCTCCAAACTTCGGTCACCATAGTGCCTTTCCTTAGGTTGGGCATAGCCAGACCTTTAGGGAGGAGGTGCAGTGCACTCTAGGAGTACATGTGCACCTGGACCATGCTGCCACCATTGCGGCTATATAGCCTGGAAAGCGGGGGCAGCATCGCCCCTTAGTGCTGCCCAGTTCCTGAGAGGCTTCACAGCTGGGGCTGGCTTGATGTGCCTGCCTCAGATGAGAGGGCAGGCACAGAAAAGCTACAGACTTAAAGCCCAGCAGGCCTTAGTTGGGAATTCATCCTGGTTTGAAAGACACATCTCCCCAAGTAAAGGGTAAGAAGGGAGGAAGCTGTGAACATTTGTGAGTGAGTGAGCAAGCAAGCAAGCGAGTGAGTGAATGAGTATCTGACACAGGTTTTACTTGGCAGTGAAAAGGATGTAGGAAGTTTACAAGTGCTTTAGGAAGAGAAGTGCAATTGGGCTCAGGGAAGGGCTGGGGAAGAATGGCAGCTCGAGAGAAGTTCTGTGATTTGTGTGCTGTCACACTCTTGCACTGTGGTTCCACATTGTACTCTAAGGCAGTGCTCCTTAAACCTCTGATCCTGAGTTTCTCCTGGCATCCTTGCGGAAAGCTAAATTCTTGAGAGTCCTCAGAGTTCTTGAATCTGAGTAGTTTTAGTCAGCACTCCAGGTGATTTTTTTTGGACAGTATTGGATCAGAGGTGTTACACTTTCACCTGCTCCAGATTTGTCCTCTACTGTAATACAAATAACAAGAAAGAGTACAGGGAGTGTTAAGTGCAGATGGCTCATTCATATCAAGCTTAAAGCTTTATTTCAAAAAGAGTGCATATTCCCTTTTTAACTGATAATAATACCTTGGGATTGACTCTTAAAAATGTTTTTGATTGAAACACTGGAGTATTAGTTTTAGTGACATCAGTGCTGATAATCTTTGTAAATAGAAGCATAGTGGCTCTAAGTTTGTTGTAATGGCCCTATAACAATGGTTATTTTTGACTTAGACTAATGTTCTATGATTTTAAAAAATTTATTCAGAATTGAAAGTATACGTGTTAGTTTTGTGTCGCTATGAAAAAATACCTGAAATAATCAACTTATAGAGAAGAAAGGTTTATTTTGGCTCATGGTTTCAGAGATTTCAGCCCATGGTTGCTTAACCCTGTTGCTTTGGGCCTGTGGTAGTACAGTACTTCGTGGTGGGACTGCATGGTGGAGATGGCCTGGGAGAGGGGAAGGGGCCCAGGTCCCAATATTTCCTTCAAGGCACACCCCTAGTGATCTCACTTCTTCCCACTAGGCCCCACTTCTTAAAGATTCCACCACCTCCCAATAGTGCCATTGGTTGGGGACCCTGCCATGCCTTCAGCACATACCTTTTGAGGGGCATTTCAGATCCAAACTATAACAGTATGATAATTGAAAGTTAACTTCTTTTTTATAGTTAGCACTTTGTCAATGAGGAACTAGCCTTTGTTTCATCATCAAAGTTATTTTAACAATTAAAAATGTAAATGAGGACTGGGGCATAGCTTAACTGGTAGAGTGCTTACCTAGCAAGTTTGAGGCCCTGGGTTTAACCCCCAGTACCTGGGGTTAAAAAAAAAAAAAGTAAACTATAGATGGGAAATTTCAGTGATTGTGTTTTTCTTTTCAGATAGAAACCAGAGCTTTAGCCTTCTCAGCTCACTGGCTGGAGCAAACCATAGCATTGCATCAGCAGAGACCTGTCACTCAGAGGTAAAGATTGTCCTGGATCTTTTCTCCTCTTTGGCTTTAACTTCTCCTTGTTATTATGAATCTTTACACATTCATCACTTTTTTCTTTTCCATTTAAGAGGGACAGAGAATATTAAAGATAGATGAAAGGAGAGTCTATAGTAGCCCTATAACCCTACTCTTGTTGAGAGAAGCTATGAAAACAGTCAGCCCTTTCAAGAGGTTTGCAGTTTGGGCTGTTCTGTGTTTTTTGCTAGAATGATTTTTGAAATATGCTAGGACTTCCTGGAGGCATAAACTTGCCTCCAGATCTTTAAGTAGAAAATAAAATTGGTGGTTCTTTTTCAGTACTCCTGTGTATAAGACCCTGTGCAAACTGAGGCATGGTCCCTGCCCAGAATGAACTGATAGGCCACTTTCACCCTCTTTGCTCAGGGACTCAGGTGCAAGATACCTGGGTCAGCATGCTGGAATCAGGAGCAATGGTGCATAGCCATGTTGTCCTCTCAGGGGTCTTTTTCATCAACCTCTGAGCTGTTTATGTAAGTGTGTATATTCTCACATTTTGAATATAGTACAATCTTAAATAATGCAAACAAAAACATGTTTAATATCTTGTAGCAAAATCATAACACTTCTAGTTTTTCTTTGGGAGAAAATACTTCTGGGTTAGTGAGTTTTCAACCTTTTTTGTTTAAATGTGATCTTGCTCCTTCTTTCTTCTCTTGTCTCTAACTCTATACTGCTCCTCTGTAGCCAGCCAGGGAGTATGCAGTGTGAGCCTTTTTGTACTTAATATTAAATTGTTGCTTATGTGTGTTTTCCTTGACAGCAGCCCCATTTGCCAGCGGCAGAGAGGGCAGACTCCTTCCCAGGCCATCGGGGTGGCACTTCTAGCACAACAGATGCACAAGTGGACAGCATTGTGGGTAAGCTTAACTGCAGAACTTAACAGATATCTGGGCAGAAAGCATTGGGAGAGGAACAGACTTAAAACATGGAGAAGGAAAAAAAAATGGACAGTGTACCCCACATGATTGTGAGCCTTGCCCATGGTAGTCAGACAAAGGGATAAGAGCAAATACATAACAAATATGTGGGGACTGTTTCCTCCTTGATTTTCTTAGCAGCTCTTGAGTCAGGTCATCTTATTAAGACAGAACCACATAGTGAAACAGCTTTATAGCTCTGTATTCCACAGTTTTTTCATAGTATTTAATAGTAGTCAGAATGGCAACAAGAATAACATATTTTACATATTGCTGTCCTCGGTGCTCCATCTAATCTCCTTTTCCAAAGTGACTCAGTTACCATGTGTACACAGATAAATCACAAATTTTAACTTCAGCTCTGTATACAAACTGTCTACATGACATCCATTGAACTAAAGCAAACTTTATTAACCAAGATGCATTTTAATACCAAATTATCTATATGGCATTGTGATACATGCAAAGAATTATCATAAGTCCAAGTATGTAGAAATAGGGCTTCTAACAGTCAAGGTCATGGGTGTTGGAGTCCTATACAAATCATAAAATCTTAAAATTCAAATCATAAAATCTACCACTAGTAGATATGATCTTGAGTGCATTATTGAACCTCTGTTGGTCTTTGTTTCCTCATCTTTAAAGAAGGGGCAACAAATCTGTCCTCCCAGGGCTGTTGCAAAGATGAAGTGGACTCAGGGTAGTTAAAGCACTCAGTAGTGCAGGTACAAAGAAAGTTCACTTGTACTTTAGAGATAAGACAACTATAGCTCAGAGTTGAAATAACTTGCTCAAGGTCACAGCTGGTGAGTGGATTAAGACTTAGGTTATCCAACTCTGAAGTCCACACTCCAGGTACACAGATTCAGCAACATAAAATTGACACCATACTTTACAAGTATTTTCTCATCTACTACTGACAACCATATAAACCAATTAGAGCAGATACCATTAGTGTCAGAACCAAAGGAGCCTGTGTAAGTGTTGTGACAGCTCTTGTCAATGATCAACATGGAAGGAATTCTATGGAAGGAAGCCTGGGAACTAGATTGTCAAGGAAGATGCTCTCAAGGTGGTGGGCCTGGAGTGGAAAGGGTGTTATAATTCTGAATAAAAACAAACTTTTGATAAAGAAGTGATATGCTGTTAGAAATAGTAAAGGATTTATAGTAAGGTCACCAGCTGTTACCTTGAGCAAGTTATTTCAACTCTGAGCTATAGTTGTCTCATTTCTAAAGTGAAAATGGCATTCCCTACCTCATTATAAGGCTGTAAGGATAAAATAAGTTACTGTTCATTTGTGGGGCCCCACTGACAGCCAAGCAGGATGAGGCAGCACCAACTGTAAAGCTGGTGCACATTAGATACTTTGTCATTGCCACATTCATCAAAGCCAACATTGATTGCTTTTAGGATTCTCTATATTTACACATATATAAATAATGTGACAAATTCTTATTTCAGATCCCATGTTAGATCTGGATATTCAAGAATTAGCCAGTCTTACCACTGGAGGAGGAGATTTGGAGAATTTTGAGAGACTGTTTTCAAAGCTAAAGGAAATGAAAGGTAATCAGCTCCATTGTGTTTAACATATTTGCATATTGATACTCATCTATTTTATATAGGGGAACTATATTATTTTATTTGGTAACTGCTAGATTGGACTCTGAGCTCTGGTCTCAGCTGTCTTGAGAAACTTGGCTACTTGGGGGACTGTGCCATTCTCAACAGAGAATTTACCAACAGGTAAAAATTCCCTGGGGAAAGTCTCATTTCTTCATTGTCTTTCCTCTTACTTTCCCCTCTTCTCAAGCTTCTCTCTGTTTCTTTCAGTGAATGTCATTAACACAGCATCTGTAAGATCCCCACCAATTTACTTAACCTCATTCCCATCTGGAAACTTGGGAGACTTACACTTCCTAAGAGCATAATGACTACACCATAAACATGTATCTTTGAAACCCATCTCCCATCTTCTAGCGTTGGAATGTCCATATACTCCAGTTTCTCCTATGCTATTAGACAAATTTCTTAAGATGTATTTTCCCCCTAGACAAGGCAGCGACGCTTCCTCACGAGCAAAGAAAGTTGCATGCAGAAAAGGTGAGATAATCAGTCAGGTGGAGTATCTACAAAAGCCCTAGTGCTGTAATAATTATATATCACATGTGTGTACTTCTGACACCTCTTTGTATGAACTTTTCATTGGATATGAACTTACATGTACTTGAGTATTTATAATACAATTCCTGCGATTGAATTAAGATTTCTTAAATGTATGTTTAAGTGACATGGAACCTTGATTGATACTTGGGCGTGTCTGCCTTCCTAACTGTTGGGCAGGAAAACTCTTAGTTTTTGTGTTTTGTGATTACCAGTGCAGTACATGTTCTTGGGAAGAAACTTACATAGTTGATGGTATTCCATTATATGAATGTGGCATAATTTATCCAGTTCCTTTTTGGACATTTAAGCCAACAGTATGTGTATTTTTCTTCTATAAATAATGACTATGCTACAGTTCTGCCTTGTGTACAACTCTGATCATATCCTTTGCATAAATTCCTAGATATGGAAGTCCTGAGTCAAAGGGTATTCATGGATTTTGATTTTCATTGCTGGAGGACAAAGCATAGAATTTTGGCCTCAGTCAGTTCAAAGTGTGAAGTATGGAGTGAGCTGAAATTTAGCTTTTGCTAAAACTTGTTGCATGCTTCTCTCCTCAGGTGGCCAAAGCATTCTGGATGGCAATTGGGGGAGACAGAGATGAAATTGAAGGCCTTTCTTCTGATGAAGAACACTAAATTATTCATGCTAGGCTTGAATAACAAAGATTCTAGCATTCTCCACCCAGGATTCTTCCCTGCTCGATCCAGTTATGTTTTGCTGAGATTCCATTCTCGTAACTGCTTGACTGGTTTTTAGGGTCTTCTCAATTTTATTTTTAGTAGTGAGTTAAGGAAAAACCTTTTCTCCTTAGTATAAGGAAGTAAGGAGGTCAATGACAAGGGGAGAATTTCTCAAACACACTCATTTGTTTTAGGAATCGGGGTGAAATGAATCTAAGAGGTCTGTGTGATGTACCTAGGTTAGAGAAGAAGAGAGCCACCCAGCATTCCTAGCCAGCTTTGTGTGTAGCAATCCCTGTGTTCACATCTAATTGCTGCAGGTCAGGACCTTGGGCCATTTTTTCCTGGGTGCTGTGAATTGTCCCCCATTCAAACAGCTTGCAGGTCTGAGCTGGAATGTTTTTGGGAAACAAAGAGTCAGCTCCAGTTTACTGTGTGCTGTGGTGTAGTGGGGCAGATAAAGTCAGTGGCCTACAAGTTTGTCTCTAAAAAAATACTCTGGGCATTTCCTTTTGAAGTATGGTGTCTGAGCTCATGCTATAAAGAATTGAAAAAACTGTGTATTTTTAGACTAAGAAATGAAACAAAGATTCCTTACTCTGATGGGGTTAAAACAAACTCTCTATCAAGTTGCTGTGGAGGTGTGTGTGTGTGAGAAAGAAACCTGAGGCATCCCTGTGTGGGCCAAGGAAACAGTGGGCTCTCATTACTGAGCTTGTGATCACATGGTGAAGATGTTCTTTTGCCTAATTGGTCTACCTGCTACTGAGATGCCAGAGCTATGCTGGCACACTTTAACCGCCCCCAAAGGGCAAGTTTCCCCTCTTTCCCTGTGAAAGCCAAACAGACAGCACTGCCAAAGTAGCAGCAACTCAGTGGTGGGTGAGTGTGTGAAGTGTCAGGCCATGCGGTCCTGAGCACCTGTTTTATTTTCAGGGCTGCTGGCTCCTCTGTGCCCTTTCTTCTTTATTCTGTGTCATGTTTGGGTCAGCCTCAGGAACTCATCGCCAAAAGGAAAGTTTCAAAGCAAAAGTGGAAAGTACCAAAGCAAAAGTGGAAAGTACAGCACATAAAATCCTTATTTCTGTCTTGGAGACACTTGTCACACGTTATTAGTCTTCTCTGTGGTGGTTACTGCCTTGGCTCTAACCTGGCCCAACACTGTAGATAGATGGTGCTGGCACATAGGCTGAGAACTGGTTCTGGCCTAGTGTGGGTTCTGAATCCATTCACTCATCAGTGAGAAACAGGTTAAGCCACAAGCAAAAACAAGGTTCATACCTGCTCCAGACACATGAGACAAGGACTTCAGAAGACAGCTGCACAGGAAGGAGGCTCTCAGGGCCCTGATTTGCAACTTTTGTTCTCTGTTGCCCCCCCTGCAACTTCCCTCCCCCCCGCCACCATTCTGAAGGTCCCTCAGTCTGTGGTTTACCACTATCCCTTCAGTGGATCAGTGGGACAGATATTTTTGAGGTGACTGTGCTTCTTTGAGGTAATGTTTCCTTAGGAAGTTGACTCTCGAAAGCCAGAAAGGAGGACATATTTTTCTTAAAGCATGGAAGATTTTAGAAAATGTAGTAGGCCTCATGGTTGGGAAACACAGGCTAGAAAAAACTGAACTTAATTTTGTGGATCCAACAAAGCCAGATAATTAAAATGTGATTTATTTGTAAAGTCTGCTAATATGTATTATTTTGGTGCTGCTGTTTTTAGGTAGGGGATGTGAAATGAGCAAGGGGGAGGGGGCGGGGGGGAGGGAGTCTTACATCCTTTGGATTAGATATACATGGTAAAGAGTCTAAAAATTTGTTGGGCTTGTTATTTTGCAGTCCACTATGCATGTGAATAATGTCTACTATTGCTTTTAAGCCTCAGCTATCTGGGGATATTGGCCTCTTCTAGGGATACTCAGGGTAAGGTATCTAGTAGTGTCTACTAATGGCTCATGTTCAGAAGAGTGATCCTGAGCTAATACTGCAGTAGCAGTTACAGCCTAAAAAGTGAAGCTGTGTTCACGCTGACACAAGTTGTATACTGCCCAGCTTGGATTTAAGATGAGGGCAGGAGTTTTTCAAACGTTTCTTGATTTACTGGACACAGTACTCTGCTTAGTAGGCCCTTGATTTTTGTTGGAAGGTGTGGCTCATGTGTATTGAATATCATCAACAAAGCCTGAAGATCCATGTATCTTGGAAGGTAGGGAGAAACATGAGGAAACTTTCTCCCTGGGAAAATCATGTGTATATAATTATTTTAGAGTGATGAAGACATAGATATTTTTATAATTTTAAAATATGCTGTCCTGTCCTGCCAGAGTATGAGGAGATTGACAGAACCAGTTTGCTTGCTCTCTATTTATAGAACTTGGCCACATCTGATTCAGAGAAGCTAGAGATTCAGGGAAGCTAGACGTAGATGGCTGAGTAATGTGGGATGTGATTCAAAGACCATAGAGCACGCCAGGCCATTCCTGCAGACTACTTGGAACAAGTGAAATGTGATGTACAGCTAATTCTATGCTCCCATTGTGGGGAGGTGGGGATAACACTTTTGTGTGGCTTGTCAGATTCCTTTAGCCTTGGGCCAGTCTCTTGACAATGGCCTTGGAGAGACTGTTCTTTGGAGGAGCACTGTCTGCATGTAAGATGAGAGCTTAGTGAACTATTCTGAGCTTGAGTGTTTGTGATGCAAACCTAAGTTTAGCAAACATGTCCAGTGTGGTCAGGGTTCTGATTCATCCAACATTCTTATTGATGGAGATGGAGCTTCAGTGAATATTCTAATGAGTTAGGTTTACTCTTCACCACTCCCCAACTTAAAATAGACAATTGAGTACAGCATTAAATACAAATCCTGTGGGATGACTATAGGTACAGAAAGTAAACAAATCTGGTCAAGTGTACTGAGCCTAGTTCCACCTTCATACAGCTTGGTTTAAAGACAGAATCTAACCGTTAACTTTCCCATGGGTCTGTTTATTTCATTCAACTAAAATGCTGGCTGTGCAGGCCACAGTTCTGGTTTTTGGTTTACATTCCACTTGGGATTTAGTTTTGTGACCCATCTGGTACTTTGGCATGTAAGTTTTTGCAGAAAGGGTCTTAGAAATTCTCTTGCCTGTTACTGACATCACAAGTCTTGCACTTCATCTAGACATCTTTACTCAGAGTTAAGTTCTAATGTGGGAATTATCTTGCTCCATTTTAGATAGTTCCTCTGATTTGTGGAATCTTACCACAAATGAAAAGGTAGCAGCAATAGTTTGTGCCTTTTTGGAGAACACTACTGGGCCTCATTCCAGCTCTTTAGTGATTTACACTTCTACTTTGTTTCCTTTTTGAAAAGTACTGACTCAAAACTTGGCCCTAAACAGTTACTACTGCATCTTTGGAACATAGGTTTGGGGAGGGGGAAGTGATTTTTTTCTTCTAAAACTCTTTTGTGTATATGTGGTTGTTTTTTGAGGCAAAGTCTTGCTCTATGGCCCAGGCTGGCCTTGAACTTGAGATCCTTATGCCTTAGCTTCCCAAGTGCTGGGATTACAGGCATGCACCACCAAATGCTACCTCCCTTCAAGAACCTGGGCAGCATAACAGATCATGTGAGCTCCTCACTTGAAGCTTGCTTTGGAGGGCCCCCTCCTGCTCTTTGATGAAGTGACCAGTCATTGCCTCTTCCTCTTCTGTTGCTAGCCATGTGGCTTTAATGGTACAAAGATCTAAGCTAAGTAAGATCTGGAGTAGTTACTTAGAGAAGGTTCTTTTCATCTCAAATGTGAGTATGTGGTATGCACCAATTGTGCCTCCCCAGGAAATTCCCAGGAAGTCATTAATAGTATAGTTTGATGGCCTCAAACTTGTTCCCTCTGCCCTGGAGAATATGAAACAAGGATTCAAGAGCCAGCCAGCACTGACTCTGAACGTTGTCAGTGCCAGACTCAGCACAAACACAGTCAAGGATACAAATTTGAGCATATAGTTTCTGTTTTCCAGGAGTTCAAAGTCCAGCTTAAGAGCCAACTTAGTACGAGGCAAGCAAGACAAGGTCACAGAGCATAGAATGTCAGGCAGAATGTGGAAAGTGCTGTGACCAGCCTTAACTGCTGTGGGAAAGAGCAGAGTGGGGTGGGCAGAGCACAGAACGCATCTTAAAGCAGTGGCTCTCAAATGTGAACCCACATCAGAATCACCTGCAAAGCCCTACTCTGAAGTTTCTGACAGTTGGTCTAGGGTGGGGCCTGAGAATTTGCATTTCTAACATCCCAGGTGATATTGATGCTGCTGGTGCTGGGGCACACTCTGAGAACCTGTGACTTAGGGGGAGTATTGCTTGAATTCAGCTAAAAGGATAAAGAATTTGCACAGGTAAGTAAATGGAAGCAGCAAAATTCTTAGTGTAAATTATGGCAAGAACATAGGTCTGGAAATAAAGCAAGGGGTGTGTTGGGAAACCCTAGGGAGTCCAGTTAGAGAAATGTTGGTAGATAATGTAGGAATGATGTCAGAGAAGATATCTGGAGTCTGTACCTATTCCAGGGGGGACTGGGAAGACAAAGGTTTTTGAGCAGACATGGCATTCCACCCATATTTACTTTCTAGGAAAATCTGGCGACAATCCTGTGAGGCAGGATAGAGCAGGGAAGATGAGGCATGGGACACAGGAGCCAGGAATTCAGAGATAAGCACTGTATTGATGAATAGCTTGATTAGAAGTGTGTGCTTTAAGTTCCACACTGCCTCACTAAGCTGCAACATACAGAAAAAAAGAAGAAGCAGACAGCTCTTCCTTGTCCAAATGATATTATGCTCCTAGAACTGAGCAAGAACATCTTAGACACTTACACTGGGGTAAAAACATTTGGTAAAATAACTTACAAAGGTGTTTACAAAGGAAAAAAGTAGCTCAGTGATGGTCACCTGCCTTGAAGGGAGCATCTGGCAGAATCCATCCTTTGTTTAAAGGGATGCTCAGACATCTATGTTATGATAACCCAAATTTAAGAAGTGGCCCAATTGATAAAATGGTAACAACAAGAATGATTGAATGTTTCAGGTATTCAGAACAAAGGGGAGGTGGATTTGAGCCAAATCCCCGAACCACTTTTTCCCCTATAAATACCCTTTTTTATACACCCCCCTTTTTTTAACATTAAAACAAAGCCAATATTTTATTTGCTAAACATTAACTGTGTAAGATGCAACCTGGAGCACAGTAATCTAAACTCAGATCAAAAGCAGGCCCTTTGAGGGAGAAGGGGACCAGGAATTAAGGGCCAGCAGCAGATAAGTGCTGGGTGATGGGGACATATGGCTTCAGAATTGCTCCGAATGAGGGTTGCTGGCTCATAGAGCTTTCACAGGTGTCCATGTTATCAGACATCCCATTCATCAGAGTGGGCAGATGTTGGTTCATTTTGGGGTCCTTGGAGGATGCTCATAGAGGGCCACAGCTCAGTTGGGGAAGGAGGGTGGGGTGGACACCCAAAAGATAAGGTGTGGAGTAACCATAGAGCCCAGGTCACAAAACCTGTGGGAGGATGAAGAGCTCGGAGCACACAGAAGCGGGGAAAGAAGTCCTAAGGTCAGTGTACGTAGGGGAGCACGGGAAGAAATTCTCACTAGGGAAAAAAATTTGCCAAGGCAGGAAGATGAGGAAGAGCTCCTGGGAATGCTGCTATCCAGATAGGAGGCAAGGAATAAGACCTTAGGCTGAGGTAAGCTCTGATAGAAGACAAGTTCAGTGGGAGAAGGCATCCTATGGGAAGGTGTCCCAGATGGAGAAATGAGGGTGCAGAAGAGTGACCATTGCTGAAAAGTATTCCTCTGAAAATAAGGACTGTTGTGGAAAGCAGGGCCAGGCAAAGTGGCACTGCTTCAAAGGGCAGAATCTCACCTCATTTGGGAGTTCTAAAGGACAGGGCCTAGTGGTTCAGCCTCATTGTAGAGGATGGGATCTTGTAGTTTGGCTTGGCTTCACAGGACTGTTTCTTGAGGTTTGATCAAACTATAGGGGGCAGGGCCTGGAGTGGGTCTGCTGCTTTGGCCTGCCTGGGAAGAAATGGGCCTGGTGTTTCATCCTGGCTTGCTGGTCTTGTTTTCCCTGGCTGTGGTGGTGTGGTGTGGCAGTAGAGGACAGGGCCTGGTGATTCACTCTGGCTGTAGGGTCTTGTACTTTGTTGTTGCTGCAAAGGGTAGGACCTACCTGATTGCTTGACACGGTCCTGGTTGTTTGGCCTTGCTGCACAGGGCAAGCCCTGTTGACTCGTCCTAGCTGGGAAGGGTAGCACCTGGTGGTTAGGCCTGACTGTGGAGGGCATGGTCTTGTCTTTTGGACGGGATATGGAGGGCAAGGCCTGCTGGTATAAATACCCTTGATGTCGGAGCACTCATTGTACCTGTTTATCAAATGTACTTGCATCCAGGTCTGGGTTGCAAATCCTCTCTTTGCTTTACTAATAAAAATTTCTTTGTTTCTACCTTAACGTGTTCTAAAATTATCTTTTGTAATGTCACAAACTCACTACTCAAAAGCCAGGCATAGGTCTCCCTTTTAGAGACTTCCTGTAGCTTCATGGTTCCAGTAACATTGTCAGTTAATCAGCCTAACCAGTTAGCAATATTGAAAACAGTTCTGAGGCTGGGAATAGACTGGACCTAGCAACTCTGATTAACCTCTGCCATGGGCAGAGATAAGAGCAAGGTAGTAATTTGGTCACATATTTGCTGCC